TACCTACAATGGAAAGAAAGATGAGGACCTTCTAGCTGCAGTTCGGACATGCCTCTATGTTGAGAGGATAGAAAGGGGAGATCATGAAGTGCAGACTTAATTCATTCCTCTTGTTAACCACCATGCTTTGCCTGGGTCCAGATGACCGCTGAATACCTCTCTGTACTGCATACATGGTTTAGTTGATCTTCCCGTGCCTGGTGGCTTCTACGCAGGTCAACATAACCGTCCATTGTTATAGGCTACACGGATTGCCGAGAAGGAGGATGATTGTTGCAAGAGTTTGGAATCTTTGGATGCGTGAAACACACAGTATGCAAAGATGAAGAAGGACATCAATCATGAGCGACAGGTCACCAGGATCATCCCTTACAATATCTAGGACAGTCCATACTGAGGCATTAATGATCGTGACATATCATGTTTTGGCATAAACGCAGATGACTTGAGTCACTTAACCCATACTCTATCGCCCACCTGAAATGTTGGCATCAATCTATGCTGCTTTTCATATTGAATCACAGCCCTTCGTGCTTTCTGAAGCTTCTCTACTGTTTCCTCCAAGATGTGTTCAGGGTGTACTCCGTATGCAAACAAGAAATCCAATCAAGTCCGGGGTTTTCGTCATAATAGAAGTGAGTGACGAGTTGCTGAGAGTATAGCATGGTTACACGGTCCAGCTGTTATCTACCCGATTGGACTTCAGTCCACAACGAATTCACACGTTCCCATACACGCATGCGATTGCAGAGTAGACTCGAAGGAGGCAAATCCACATAAAACCAGAGAGAAGATATGCACATCGGAAGCTCGAAATACACAGAGAATTGAAAAACGAATTTCAATTCTGTAATCCCCCATCCTCCTCCAATCAATCCAAAGTACGTGCTGCAAGAACCACAACCGCGTTTACAACAACCCCGAACAACCAAAAACAAGTGTTCAACGAAGTCCACAGGAGTCTTCTTCTTCCTCCTCGCCACTTCATACCCCTGGCTATGGCTGCCATAGCAGCAGTAACCCCACAGCTGTCACAACGTGCCAATCTGAACCAGCAACCCCAATGATAGCAGCACCAGCTCAGCGCCTGCACGGAAGTGCAGCGCTGGAAGTCCTGATGAAGAGGGAGACAACCGATTGAGCACTTCAAAGAAGAGAAATAAAACGAAGTTCCTCATGAGGAGGAACAGCAGATATGGCTGCCAAATGGAGAATGGCAGCGCCCAAACCCAACGGCACAGTCCTGTGGAAGCTCTCGTGCAGAGCTACTAAATAGCAGCAGTGCAATCTTCAACTTTGTTTCCCAGTCCCAGCTATGGCTGATCTCGAGGAAGAAGACGCCTTTGCCCAAAATAACACAGCAGCGCTCCAGCCACGAACGGGCAGAGTTTCCCCAGCAAAAAACACGAAAAAGACCCGAACCCAATTTTCCGCCCGCTGCTTCTACCCTCTGCCTAGACCTACGACGGACTCCCCAGGCAACAACGCAAGACTCGTCAGTATCTAGACGTGAACAAGGGAACAGGGGACCTAAAACTATAACAAGGCACGAGGAAAAGGCTGAATGGCCTAGGACTGCCGAACAGAGACTACTAATGACAGACTTAGGGATCAAGTCCCATACGGCTCAGCACTCGCAAACAAAATACACAGGTTACAGCTCACGGGATCAAGTCCCGCACAGCTCAAAACAAGCAAACAGCAGGCAAACAGGCAACACAGGAAACAAAGGTTGCAGGATCAAGTCCCGTCAACGACAAATTAGACAAAACTAGCATACAGCCCGCTTGTACACTGCAATTCATTGCACAGCTATATGAGGCAGTCTGATGTCCCAATCAAGTTGATCAGGAGTATGTAACGCCTGAGAAGCTGCTGCACGCTCGGCTTGAGCACTGCCCTCAGGGCGATTTCCTCAGGTTATCTTCAGTTTCAGACCTCAGTTTTTTAACTAGGTCCTGCCACACTTCACTCCAGAATCGTCCATCTCTATCACTTACAAATGGTTTTGGGTAATCCAGAATCTTTACTCCAATGATTATTAGCAATTTAGCACCTTCCGTTGATAGTAATTTTCTATTTGTTGTTTAGAAATGTGTATTTGCACTGGCCGGTAAATGTCTGGAACGAGCAAATATGGAAAATATTATTTAAATATATCAAAAATCTGCTCGTTTCCTTTCCTGTTTGTCACCAAGGTGTCCATGTAGTCCATGGCAAGAGACTGACCACGTTCTCCCAGACTACCATCTTCACCCGAATAAAACGCCTGGTCATTATCACTGCATCTGCACTGAAAGTTGGCCCAAGCACAGGGGTAATGACCAGGCGCTCTATTCAGGTGAAGATGGTAGGAAGAGGCTTAATTAAGCTTACAGGTGTTCATGTGCATGCCTTTTCCCTTTGACAAACCTGGCAACTTTAACATACATTTACGCATCCCTCCTAACAATAGGCCACCAGAAATGCTGTAACAGGTTCGCATCCATGCCCAATAGCATCGCGAAAGTGCTCGAGGAATAGGATCCTGAGAGATTCATTATTGGGAACACAGCCTCTCTACCCCATCCTTACTCAAGATGGCAAACCCTCAACCGTCTTGTACTCCTCAGATACCTTTCTATCATGTGCATTTAATTGCCTGATGATTTCATTGAGAATATTGTCTGCATGGTAGGATTTTTCCGGCTGCTGACGTACACACCCTTCTATCCCAAACTCAGTCCCTAGCGAACCTAGCAGGCGGGCTCTCCTTGATAAAGCATCAGTTACCCACTTCATGGCCTCTGGTGACACAACCACCGCAAAGTGTTCATCTTTCCCACCCACCCCAGGGTGGGTTGGTGTCGGCTCCATTCTTTTCTTTGCCGGGCAGCAAAGCTGACGAGCGGAAAAAGGGATCTCAACCAGATTGTACTGACCTTTCACATGCTTCAGCATGAAGTCATACTTATCTATGACTTGCATCCAACACGTGAGAGCATCTGAAAGTGTGCGGTTGTTGTCTTGATCTACTGGACTGTCACGTAGTCAGACCTGACTTCAAATGCCTGCCATGAATACTCTATGGGCAGTGGTTCTTGATATGTCCCACTTCAACACATTTCATACGCTTGCCCGTTAAATAACAGTCCTGCCAAACCCGTTTGTCAAGTCCCTCTTTCACCCAACCTGCTACCCTTTACCCTGTGCTGGCCCCTTACAGGGGTCAGTCCCCTTAGCCTTCCATGCAACGGCTGCTCCGCTCTGTAGAGTTGGCTCTCCGCTGCCTTCCCCTTGCTCTATTCTCTTCATATGCTCATTTACTCTTATTTTTATTTTTACTTTTGTGTGTCGGGTCCGCATTCCTTTCATAAAGGATTATGTACTCGTGAACCCAATTCGGATAGGAATGAACGACAAGACTGCGTGAAGACGAAAAGCAAGGTATAGAAATATCTTTAAGAACATAAAACAAGAAGGACAAGTGTGGCTTCGCCCACATGATAAAGCAGGTCAGTGCATGATGCACTTACTTTGACCCACACGGCAAGCGAATGGCTGTTTTAGGAACTGACATATACATACTGACCAAACCCAGTAATAGCAAGTAAACTCGGCAATAGGAACTAAAGAACATTAAGCGGTGTGGATATGTCCTCATGATCAACGTCCATTCAAGCGTAAAGGGAAAATATTTAGAGAAAAATAGCCAATCAGATGTCCAACTAATGAGCAAGCAACCAATCAATGGAACCAATCATTGGATTAGCATGTTGACCTGTTCAACATTGTTTTTGCATCTATGATGAAACAATGTAGCAAGTTGTGAGTTATCATTTTTGTTCTGAAAACACACACACACACACACACACACGCACACACACACACACACACACACACACACACACACACACACACACACACAC